ATGTCTCCATGATCCCAGCCTGCTGCTGGCTGGGCAGGTGGAGAAGGAGTGGGCTTGCTCTTTTATTTTGATGAGTTATTTTTAAAAGCTAAAACCACATAAATTAATGATTTAGTGACTACTGAGAATACAGTCATTTTTTCCTGATAAAATGAAAAGAAAATAAAGCATCCACATTTGATATCATGGCTCTTAAATTCTGTAATTTTATACTTCCATTGATCAGAAAATGAATTTATGGCCTGTGTATTTTCAGCACTGTAAAAGTACACGTCATTTAATTGTTCATCTAAGGTCAAAAGCAAATTAGCATTATAATATCTGAACTGCACTGCTCTAAAATCCCCTGGTAGGCATCTTTCTGACTCCTGCAATTATAAAAACTGTTCCCATTGGTTCTGGACCCTGTTAAAGCTGTTCCTAGATAAACTTTGCACGGGTAGTTTATGAGAGCCTGTTTGAATAAGCAGTCCTTAGGTGATGCCTTTGTGCTGGTGGGATTGCTGGTTTTTCTGTGGGATATTTGCACCACAGAGCCTGGATCAATCCTGATGCTTGTTATCATTTCCCCTTTGGTCTCATAAACTTTGTTAAAGGTCTCACTGCTTTTCTTCAGTCAGTTCTGACAACATTAAGTTATGTGTTCAAAGTTATAAAATTATTTGAGGCTGGGGTTTTTGCCCCCCCCCTCATTTTATCACCTTGATGCCATGGTATTCATGTAGGTTGAGTTTCACTAGTCAGCCTTTATGTGCTTTTCCTGTCCTGGGTCTCTTTATTAATTAATTCCTTCTCTGTGCTCCATTAGTTTAAAGGGCTATTGCTACAAGTGATTGAATCTTGAGTTTAAAAACAAAAAAAAAAGCCAGCAGGCACTTCTCAGGGTGACAAAATAATGATGTAAGAGAGGCATTTAATGCCATAATGTGTCTTTGAGACATCCTCTTTTTTTGAGAGGATTTGATCCCTGAGGGGATTTCAGGCACCTGGCTCTGGCAGCAGGATCTGGGCTTGCGGTTTTGCTATTATAAAATTCAGGGGACAATTAGGAAAGTCATGATTAGGAAACCTGGAATTAGGAAACTTTTTGAAAAGCTGCGTGCTGAAATGAACTGTGTAATAAGACAAGGGTAAAGAGACCAGGAATGGGGTTCCTATTGATTTTTCTTACAAGGATTCCCCTGATTTTTCTTACACTTGTCTTCCACAGCAAGTCTGGGAGCAACAAAGCTTTATGTCTGTGAGTGAAATGCAGCCACACCTGAGCTTGGAGCTCCTTTGGCCATCTCATGGGAATTTTTTATCCATGCACAGGTACCCAGGAGCCTGTAAAAGTCTTGTTTTTCATCTGGACTGATAAGCCTCAGCTCAGCATAATGTACCGGGTGTGCGCTAAGATACCTGACTGCCTTTTTGAGAAACAGGTGGAATATTTCTGCTTCAGGCCCTGTGTTATGGTTAGATTTGTTAAAATAATCCAGCTTCTGCTCCAGGGACAGCAGCCCAGTGCCAGGATCACATTACAAGGCTGGAGAATCAGGGTCAGGCTTCCCATCCCTTCAGGCTGGGCAGAATCATTTGAGAGCGACAGCGCCTGTGCTCTGCACCTCCAGCACAGCAATTCAGTGTATGGGGATAGTGATGAAGGCATTTAGGTCTCATGGAGAAATGCCATTTAATTATTCATTGTGAACTGCTGGTTGAACCCTGCTGGCTGGGTCACACGTATTTTCAGCTGCTTCATAAGCAGAGGAAAATGCCTGCTAATTATTTGCCTACTGATCCATGGAAAAAACCAAATATAACAGGCATTAAACTAGCTATTGAAGTTAGCATTAGTGAGCAGCTCTGCCACATGAAAAGTGGGAAGGAAAAGATGGTTTCTAGGTACAAGTCACATTGGTTTTTCTGTTGCTGCTATTTACTTTGAACAACTTTAGGGGGGTCCTTCTGATGCTAAGAATGCACGGACTGATGGCATGATCGGGTGATATCTCATTTTCATTTGCATAATTCAAGTGAAACCGAAGATTTGCAGCTAAGGGCAGCATAAATGCAGTGCCAGCAATCCCGAGCATGACTGAGTTCAGTAAGGGAATGCAGGTGATGATAGTTCATCACATGGCTAAAAATACCAAAGTAGGAAACAACTACAGCATCAAAAAAAAAAAAAAAAGAAAAAAATTGAGGGGGATGCAGTTACTCATTTAGATGATCTTTAATTTAAAGGAAATAACATTTTTTCTTAAAACACCAGGTGCTTGTCTTGTGGTTCAGAGCTAGATAGAATCCCACTTAGACAAGCATTTTTTCAGAATAAAGACCTCGGGAGCTGGCAAGGTATAATCTTTGCAGATTGTTAAAGCACTCCATGAAAGACTGAGATACCAGTTGTGAGAACAAAAAAAAAGACCAAATCCCATTTTGTAATTTGTTCATTTTTTCTGCTAAAACCAGTTTTCTGTGCCAGGAAAAGGAGGGTGTATCTCCCAGGAGGTCTGACAGAAGGGGAGCTCTGGGACCAGGAGCTCTCCAGAAGAGCTGAGCACACAAAACTTGTGCCACATCTACCTGTAGCCATCCAAGGAGAGCAATTTTGTTACTTAAAAACTGAGAACAGGCACAGAGTGCTGCTAACTTGCAGCAGTAAAGGGTTCAAAATCTGCTCAGACTCAAATCACTAATTGTAATCATCCCAGTAACTGCAGGAAAGTACTGTAGCTGGGAGGTGATTATGGATTTGTACACACCTCAGCTTCTCCCTTTTAACCGTGTGAGACAGCACCCTATTATCTTCCTTTTGTTCCCTCACTTCTCACTGCTTTCCTTAGCATTAGAGGGGAAAAATACCCTGAAGAAATATTGAGCTCCACAAAATGCAATTAAATCCTCTCTTTAAGTGCCAAGAGCTGGAGGTGAGGAGGGGAAGGAGCAAATTTGGTCTCTTCTCTTGTGCTTTGAGTGCTCAGGAGTTGCCTATGAAATGAGGTACTTCAGGTTTCATGAGTGGCTGGTTGGAAGCGGGGTCAGTATCAAGCTATCTAGGAAAACAGGAGTGCACAGGGGTAAGATATGTTCAACAAAGATGCTCCACATTTCAAGTATTCTTTATCTGGGAAAAAAATATACATCTGGTTTAGAGTGTACTTGTAACCTTATACTGTATTAGCACGATCAAACAAATTCTTATCAGTAGAAAATTTTGATGTATAGAAAATATACATGGTGGGAGATGTGATTACATTTCAGATTATTTTTCTCTATCTATCAAGGATATCCAGGCATTTGAAAAACAATGCAAAACTTGAAAGTAGAAAGCGGTACTCGTTTTTCTGCAAGTTTGTTTTCTCTGCATGTTTCTCCATATTTATTTATTGTCATTGAATGGACTGCCATTCAGGTGGTGTTGCCATCACCCAAAATGGCAAAGACTAGTGTGTGACTGGCTTGGAATATCTCAAGCTGGTTTGTACCCATAAGGATCATGGAGTGCAGCTGTGTGCCCCTTGCAGAACCCCCTAACACCAAACCATGTGTCACCAGGAGCCAGCTGGTCCCTCAGCTGGTTTTGCTTCTGCAAATCACTGTGGCCAGTGTTCATGGCCAGTCATTAGCCCTGGACACTGAAAGGGGAAATAGAAAAATAGAAGTTTCTACTGCCACTGAAAGGTTTGATTTACAGCCTTGGAAGGAGCTTGGGTTAATGCAATGATAAAGGTACACGGACATCAAGCAGAGAAATCATCAACTTACATTCCTATAGTTGCAAGTCAGAATATGCCTTAAGTAAATAAGAAACTGTATTGGGTAAGATGGTGGAGGGTTTTAAACTGTAGTAGTGTGATTTTATAGAGTAATCCATGAATCTAGGTGTTGTAATAGAAGCACATGTGTGTACATGAGCTAGCAGACCTTTGGGTGAAGGGCAGGCACAATGCAGCAGGACTTAGCAAAGGTGATAGGTGATAAAGTCAAAATAAACTCTGTGGCAACTGTCCATTGGACCAAAATGTTGTATATTGTAAAGAAACTCATGACTACCTTTGAGCTAGGGCAGATTTATTACTCCTCCAAAATCTCACGCCTTGAGATTGATGCCTTATCTATCTGAGCAATAAATCATTCTAATAGCCTCTGTAGTCCCCTCCCTCATTATTTATCCAAACAAGGGGGTAACAAGTGACTGGGTTCTTCCCAGAATTGTGAGATTATGGTTTTGTAAGATGATGTCGTGGGACATAATCAGGGCACACTGAGGACCAGTGGGGTCTGGGAGCTACTGGAATGCATTTTGCTGACATGAAGAACCAGGGAAGCCCCTGCATATTGTCCTCCTGTGATATAAAGGAAAGAAGATTCCCTTTTTGTGTGGAGAATCAGAGCTGAGCACTTCCATTTCCCTCCAAAGGAGCAGGCTGGAGATAAAATCACATGTGATCCTGGATTACACCTCGGTATCTGTATAGCTGCTGTGTGAGGCACCAGTGAGAGCAGGAAACACAGGCTCCTTCAAAGGGACAATCTCATTTCAGAATACAACACTTCTCTGTCCATCACATCCCTTGGAGAGCCCTGCTGGGTCAGGACCCCATCATCCTGGGCAGAAAAAATCCAGATTTAACATCATCTGGGGGGGGTCAATAGGCTTTTGAGAGGCTCTGCAGAAAAATACCTGGGGTGGTCTCATTTTTTTTATTGGTATCTCAAAAAAGCAGTTATGCTGTGGGGAAGAACTGTGAGCAAAATTCTGGGTGAACTTTGCCTCACCCCACTGAGGCTGGTCTTCATCATCACAAAAGCTATGGTAAAATTTGCTAGGCTGTCTCTAACCCATCTCAGGCATCTCTAGGTATTTGGGTTGTTCCCTTGAAATCCTTAAATTTGTTGAATGGCTAGGTCTGGAATAATTCATGTGGTGACCACTTACCAGCAAGTAACTGTCATTACAATGTTTCTCATCCCAGGGGTTTTTATGTGCATTATGTGGCTGTTTGTTGCAGAGACTGAAGGAACTGAAACAGAGGGAGTTTGCTCGAAATGTAGCATCTAAGTCACGAAAAGATGAAAGAAAGCAGGAGAAAGCCCTTCAACGTTTGCACAAGCTAGCTGAGCTAAGGAAACAGAGAACGTGGTAAGTCCATAGCTGCTCAAACAGAAAAAAATACCTTTAAATAAGCCCTCCACTGATAGCTGATGCTGTGGGACACAGGAGGCCCTTGGCTGTAGCCACACACACATGTTTTTAGGCTGTTTCAGAAGCGTTCTGTGCGTGGTATTTGGTTCACACTGTATGCAGGAATTGATGTTTAACATTGCTTTTTCAGCTGAGCTAAAATGACACGTATTTCTAGTTAAAAAAAAAAAAAAAGATGTGTTTCATATATATTTCATAAAACCAGGCACTTTGGTTGAAAGCTGAGTGAACTAGGTCATGCATTTGCAGGCTGACACTACTTCATTGATGAGGTGAGGAACACAGTCTGTCTCTCTAGGATGTAACAGATCTCTGCGATTTAGTTTTCAAAATGCTCGCCTGGGAAAGCATCCAGAAACCTAGCTTTAGATCTCAATAGCTGGATTTTTTTATATGAAAAGGTAAGTGCTCCTTTTCCCCTGCTCAGCAGTGTTTACCTCCCTCTGCAAAAGTGACTCCCTGCTACTGGTACATTTTTAGTATTGTATCTAGGCAAGCTGTTGAAATTAGTATTGAGCTTGCTAGTTGTGACTGAATTCTCAAAATATGACACAGTTCTGACACTGATAAGCCACTGAAAATATATGAACTTGTCACAGTGTAATCTCTGAAGAGAAAAAGAAAGAAAAAAGATGTCGATGCTCATGTGCAAATATTTTCTCTTTATTCAGCCCCCACCCCCACAGATGAACTAACAGAGAAGTCCAACCAAGCTGCAGCTCTTGTTCAGAAATATTCTCTTTGTCCCTAGTTTGGATGGTGGGCAGTGTCCTGAAACAAAGTCTGACTGAGCAGGTGGATGGGGCATGAATGCTGTGGGGTGTGTTTGACAGGAGCAACACAACACCTAACTCTTCAATCCTCTTACCATAACTCATGTGGAGAATCTTTCTCCTCCATGAGTGTTTTAACTGCCCATATTTTGTACTTGAGTATATTAGATATCATTCCCCCCAAACATGCTCCAAAACCTGAATTTTGCATATTTCATGAGCAAGAGGAAAGAAGAACTTACTGTTTACCTTTTTCCATATTAGTGAAACACAGATTTTGCAAGCCTTTGTTGTTTTTAGATTATTTGGGGTTTTTTTTTTTAAATATCCTTTTTGCTGGCTCCTGAAGGAGAATTTCTAGCTGACCCTAATTTATCTATTTCATAATTGCTATTTATTAACACTGAGCATCCTTACAGGTGTGACAGAGACAGACACACAGGATTTTTTAAACTGGCATTTTCTAGGCTGGTTTTGTAGAAGTCGCTTTTTTATTCTGTGAAAGAAAGGATTTTTGTGTGGATTTAAAATATATTTCAGATTTATAAAGAACTGGGCCAGGCAGGAATTCTCATGAGGAATTCCTTTCTCATAAAACCTCTACCTTAATTTCTAGACTTGATGGGGTAAAGACATTATTCTTCATCTCAGCACTTCTTGGGGTCCGAAATGACACTTGGAAGTTTTACCAATGACTCACCAGCGAGTATTGCCGTGCACTGTAACACAGAGAGGTTTGGCTAGAACAAACAAATGGTTTTAACATAGGTCCATTACTCCTAGTGCTGAGCAGTTTCTGTGGATTCTGGAAAATTGTCAGCTTAAACACTTTTTGCATTTCTCTTTGCTTCCTATTAAGTCAAATAGAACAGATGGGAAGAGGGCACGAAATGAAGAACAGAAGTAGACAGTGATAAATTTTTTTCTCAAGAGGGATGAATCACTTTACTTCTGTCAGCTGAAATCCTCTCTCCAGTTTTATTTCTCCATGAAAGAAATTACTGAGATGGTTTGGTTTGTGCACACAAACAGGATGGGAGCTGCTGGGGGGCTGCCTGTAGGCAGAGCAGCAGTCACTGGAATGATGGCTACGGGGGAAGTGCTCTATGAAGCACTCTCTGTTTTAATATATTGTGTAGCATGAAGGAATGTAAAACTGCTATCTGTAGTAACAGTGTTGTAGCTATGGTGGTCTGCTGAGAGGAGAAGAGAGATTTCTGTGGAGATGGACAGTTTCTTCTTTGTCCAGGCAGTGTGTCCAGGAAAATAAATACCATTGTAATATCATTGCAATGCCATGTTTCTGTCAGCAGTTCTCTGAACAGTACTGACTCAAAGTTTTATTTTCCTTCCTAGTGCTCCTGGAAGTGGCCCTATGTTCAAATCCACTACAGTGACTGTGCAAGATGATTGCAGTGATGTCCCCAAGAGTGCTGCCACAGATTCTGCCAAAAGCCAGGATTTCAGCTGTACATTAGTGCACGACATGCAGAATTGCAAAGACATCGCTTCTGTTGTTCCCTCCGCTCCTGGGGATGCGGGTGGTCCCCAATCCGACGCTAACAAACGCGGGGATCAGGTTCAAAGAGCTCAAGGACACAGAGTCGGGTTCTCCTTTGCTTTTCCTAAGAAAGCAGCAGTCAAACTGGAGTCTTCAGCTGCTGTTTTCTATGAGTTTAATGAGGAAACCTCCATGGAGCATGGATTTAGCAGAAGGAGTAGGTTTGTTCCGGGAACATGTAACCTTCAGTCTCCTTCAGCAGCAGAAATAGTTGGGTGCCCTGAGGAGAAACACAACTGTTTTCACCCACTGGTGGAAAAATGCACAGAAACAGCAGAAGCTCCTGAAGCTCAGGAGCCAAAAGAGCTGTCCAGTGAGGAGAGCAGGGTGCTGGAGAGCCCAGCTTTACCTCCTGCCATGTCCCACTCAAAGCAGCCGGTGTCCTCGGGCACGGATGGCCACGGTGGGGATGTGAGTGCCGCCGACTCGGGGGACCAAGCTCTGTCACCCTGTCCCTCTGCAGACAGTGCTCAAGTCCTGCCCCTGGACGGCAGCAGGCACGAGCTGCAGGCTAGCAGAGCTCCTGTGCAGGAACCCGGGGAGGATTGCTCCTCTCTGCAGGACGTTGTAGAGGAAAACTGTAACGATGGGAACAGTGATCCATCCGCAACTCAAACTGAAATAAAAAATCTGGGGGCAGATGCGGTAGCTCCAGCACCACCTGAAGAAGGCAGCGGAGCCCCAAAAAGCAAACCAGACGTATACAAGAGACCCTGTCAACCTTTTGTTCCTGTTCTTAGCAAATATGGATCGAATATTCTTCAGTGGCCATCAGAAATGTTAATTTACACGAGTACAGATCCCTCAATTTCTTATAGCTGTAATCCTTTATATTTTGATTTTAAGTCGTCAAGTGTAAGCGAAAGCCAAGAAAAGCGCAAGCATCAACCAAACATACCTCATTTGCACCATAAAACTGAACCTAACCATATCTTAGTCTCAGATTTTACAAAAAGACCTAGTCCAGAGTGTGGTGATTATGAAGTAGAAGTGAATAAAAATGTGTGCAACTATACAATACCCCTGTTAAGTGATGTTTCCCTCTTCAGAAATTGTGACCTTGCAAAAAATCAAAACAAAGTGTCCTTGGATGAGTCACTCGGGATTAGAAAAATAGAAAAGTATCACATATCTCCTAACCCCTTACGACAAAACACTGTGATAGATGAGAAATACAACAAAGTCTGGATCAAAGAAGGCCATGAAAAATGGCTTCACAAAAGCAGAAAAAGGAAAAGGAGAAGAAAATTATGTCATTGTCATTATCATCACTGTGGAGACACAACAATAGCAGAAATGGAGATGTCTCCAGTAACTGAAAAAGAAGTTACTTACAGAGACGAAAATAAATATCAGCACCTCCAAAATAACGCAGAGAAGTGCAGACACGGTGCAGGGAACAGCTGGTTAACTGCAGGCGAGGTGCAGCAGGCACAGCCAAAATTTGGCATTGAGAAGGGACCTAAGAGAGTCATGTCTGCATCAGATCACATACACTGGGACAGAGGCTGGTGTGACCTTTGGAGTGCAAAAACCAGCGGCCAGCGCCATGGTTGTAAAAGACCGCACAGAAAGAGCAAAGCCAGCTCCCGGAGGCAGGCGAGGCAGCTGGCTCCGAGCTCCAGGAGGCACAGCCTAAGGCACTCGAAAACCTGCTGTAGCTGGAAAGTCAGGAGGTCAAGCTGTAGCCCAGAGCATAAATGTTCAGGACAGTGCAGCGAGGAGAAGGGGCCGAGTCAGAACCAGCCCATAAAGAGAGGTTACAGCCTTCTGACAGAGGAACCCGAGAAACCTCACCGCAAGAGGAGGCAGCACGCCTATTCCTCTTCCTCGGATGAAAGCTCATGTGGACAGGCGTTATCAGCAGAGCAGTGTCTAGGGCGAGGACACTCTTTAGCTACCCACCACAAGGCTAAAGGGAAGCGCAGGAGAAGGAAGACGAGAATCCATCAAGTTTTCCTTGACAGGAGTGCCAAAAGCGAACCCTCCGAATCTCCCAAAGAAAATTCCGCAAATTCTGTGTTAAATATTTTGGGGGGCTTGCTGACTCGAGACGATCTAGAGGAAGCTAACGCAGCTCCCAAAGATGACGGTGATGATGCAAAAGGCAGGGATGAAACAATGGAGCTGGAGGAAAGCAAGTCTCCTCTAGAAACTGCTGGCCCACGGGTTCTGGAGGATGATAAATCCAGGGCGTGCGCGGCGATGGGGAGCGCGCCCACCGCGCGTCCTGGGGTCACCACGGGTTCTGCTGCTGCTGCTGCCCCCGAGCCCAGCGCCACAGCAGCTCCTGCCAAACAGGGCGCTCCCCAGGAGGGAAAGAAAAAGGAAAATGTCGACGGTCGTGAAAATCGAGCTCGTTACAAGGTTCCCGTCCCCAGCAGACGCTCGGAACAAGCTCCTCCTAAATCCTATCTTTGCCATTACGAGCTGGCCGAGTCTCTACCCCACGAGAAGATGGGTGAGGTGGCCGGCGAATGGGTGCAGTGCAATCCCGGCATGTTTAGCAGCCCCCCGCCCTTGCCGTTCAAAGAAGCACACGTCAACGCCTTTCTAAGCACGGAGCAGCTAATAGCCCCCTTCCCCCTGCCCGAGCAGGCGCTGCTCCTCGCTCCCGACGGCCGCGACAAGTTCAAGGAGCTCCCATCGGAGGCCTATCAGCAGGTGATGCCGCTGGCCAGCAAGGTGAAGTTCGCCTTCGCCCCCGCGGCCATGC